TGATGACAGTGCGGACGGGCCTCCCAATTAAAGTTTGGATAAAAGGCCTGTTTTAGCTGTTGCCCTAGCTACCACCTTGCAGAAATGGCATGCATATTTGCAGCAGCTCAGTGCCCTTCCACAAGCCCTTTAGGCAAGGGGTTACATGCCATTTTTGAATGAGTGTATTACAAGACCACTTCGGCACTCACTGTAGAGCTCCCACAGGAGATGCCCTCATCAGTGAAAGAAGGCACAGTTCCCGTTCCTGAAGAAGCATGGTATACGGATGGGTCTAGCCGAGGTAATTTTTGTGTGTGGACTGCGGTGGCCATACAACCCCAGCCAGACACCATATGGTTTTGAAACAGGAGGACAACAGAGTAGCCAGTGGGCAGAACAAAGGGCCACGTGGCTGGTATGTACACTAAAGCATAACCTATAGGCCTCTGCACAAACAATCGGGTCGTATTTAAGGGTCTCATGACTTGGCTGCCACAATGAGCTTGGGATAGCTGGCACATACTAAGGGAGCTATTGTGGGGGGCTACAATATGGCAGGAAATTTGGAAAAGATTACAGCAGCCAACTGCTAGCCTGACTCTGCCCACTGATCTGACTTGCCTCTGAGAAATTTAGAAGTTGATGTACCAGCAAAGATCAGGACTCTGGCTCCCTCCCTCACAAACACCTGAACTAGTAGATTGGGTGTGCAAGCATAGCGGGCACTGCAGTGCCCGGAGGGATGGCAATTAATGAAGGAGGCTGGATTGCCCGCTTCGTTATGCGGATATAGTGGTGGCAGTAACCAATTGCCTGGAGTATTTTCACTTGCGTCCCCACTGCATCCCACTCATACCAGGACATATACACAAAGCATTGGTCCCTACACAAGACTGACAGGTAGATTACATTGGGCCTCTGCCAGTGAGCCAAGGACAAAAATATGCCTTAATGTGTACATACTGCAACAGGACTGTTATAAGCCTTTCCTTGCAAAAGAGCATACCAAACAGCCACAATTAAGGGATTAGAACATTTCAGCATTATGTATGGCTACTCTCGGTGGATTGACAGTGACTGGGGTACACATTTCATGGGATTCATGGGACATGATGTCCAAGAATGGGCCCATGAGAGGGACATAAAGATTTCATTTGCCCTGTAACTCACAGAGTGCTGGGTTGACTGAAAGAAATAAATGGTATTTTAAAGGTCATTGCCAAAGCAGCTAGGAAAATAAATTTGGCCAACGCGCATGGGATTGACTCCCTACCAACACCCAGGAACTGTTACAAAGTAAGTTTCACTGACCATGTCTGTTGAAAAGTGGCCAATGTCAGCTGCTGTTCAGAGCTCCTGGAGATGTAGAACCCAGGGAGGGGACATTTGGATGGAATTTGGATTGGCAACTTTCCCCAGGTTGGAGAGGATATTTTTTTGCCAGAGAGTGAAGAGAGTCCTGGCTAGCTAAAGCGGTCCCTGTTGATTCTGCTGGAGTCTGGGCCCAAACGCTCTGCATACTAGTACAATGTACAGAAACCAGCACCAAAGGGCACTAAGACAGGCCATGTGGCTTGGTCTTTTGCTATCCTGCTGACATTACAAATAATCCCATAACCCTGGCCCCTCGGGCAACATGCCTGGTATGCACCACTTGCCCCAAATCCACAAGCTGCATACATTTTAACTGCATACATTTTAATCAGGATGAAACTACTGCTGTTGTCATGATTTCGGGCGAGGACCTTCCCTGCCAAGTACCCACTAAATGCATGTATTTTTGCCCATAGCTTCTTGTTCCTGGTGCTGTTCCTCCCTGCCTGTGGAGAAGTGAATTTTTTCCTACATTGGGCTCAAAGTTGTGCTGACAGCTTACAAAAAGATATACGCTGGGTCTATAGCATGTTGCCATTCTCCAGCACAACCAGCCTGTCATGGAGGGTATCACCCATACGACCTGATTTGTTGGAATTACAGGTATTTATAAAGGCTCTTCAAAGCCATAGCACCATGTTTAACACTGAGTTGACTAAAGGTGATGTATACAATTGGCCTATAAATACCTCTTTTAGCAACACAGGACATGGCAAACCTTTCTCTGTCAATGCCATGGATAGACAGGTGATTGTCCTAGCAACTCCTACTAAAACAATTACTAAACCTGAATTACAAAAAACAAAAGTCAAGCTCCCAGCCATCAAATCCCATAACTATTGCTACAAGGAAGGTTTTTTGCAAATCTGGGACGGTTTCATCTGGCTCGCGCCCACAGCAGGACATCTTCAGCAAGTTGCCCCATTATGCTGGGAACAGACCAACCACACATATGATTCATGGGCTAATAACACCAGAGAAATGGGCTGGCTTCCTAAACAGCAATATGACAATGCCATTACACTCCAAACCAGAGGCTGGTTCAATGCTGACTGGTCTCAGCATTCTGGCATTGCCTGGTTAGCACTGAATGGGACAGAATGGCTATGCAGCTCCAACCTATGGTCATGGCTGCCTAGGGACTGGCTTGGGCTGTGCACCCTAGGTTTTCCCTGGGTACAGAGATCATGGATTAAAATGATTACTAAGCCTGAAAATTATACCCATTTGGCTAGTAGATGGACAAGAAGTGTTTTCCACTGGTATGACCACTATGCAACGATTTCTGTGCCTTCCCTGAATATTGAAGATACCATTTGGCACACAGAAGCTTTAACTAATTTTACCCGACGTGCAGTGAATGACAGCTTCCAGAGTACCTCACTGACTAATACAGAAATGGTTTACATGAGCAAAGGTGTGCTACAAAATTACATGGCACTGGATGTTTTAACACCTGCCCAAGGTGGGACTTATGTCATTAAAACTCAATGTTGTGTATATATTCCTGATAACTCGGGCAATGTCACCCTTGCTTTACAGGACACACATAAGCAGATAAGCATCTCATCAAATCCCGAACTTTCTTTTTCCCAATGGTTATCATCATGGTTTGAGTCTTGGGGGAAATGGTGATGAAAGTTACACTTTATCTTTTGTTTTATACTAGTTATAGGTATCCTAGCCTGCTGCTGCCTTTACTGTTGTTGAGGTCTCTGCCTGCAAGCTGAACAAAAATTAATATAACATGTCACCAAGAGTGCCCCCTCTAAGGCTCAGGGAACATCGCGGAAGAGGTGGGCGCATGAGATTGTAAGAGCCGTATTAGAGGGGCGGACTTTGTGGACAGAGCTGAGTTCATTTTGAAGCTAATCCACCATCCTAACTCCTGGGTGAAGCTCAGACCTTGCCTCCTGCCACCTCGGATCTGTGAATGTATGCAAGAACTCTGTTCTGTGCCTCTGGAGTGAGACACCCCTGAGCTTATCTGACTCTCAACTAGCTCTGGTGCCAGAGCTTCTCGGCACCTGGTAGTTTCCCTCCTCTTAAACACATATTCCTTTGTCAGCACGTGGACTCACTGCTTTTAGTATAAAACACAGAGTCTGGGGAGTGGAGGGTGGGGAGGGTACCCATGTCCTCTTTTTGCTGCCAAAGATGTGCCTTGTATGTAAATTTCCTTAATAAATTTTTAACATAATGATGGAGTTGTCAGCCTCTTTCTTCAGTCTCTCAGCCCCAGGAAATTTTACGTAACAGCTGAGATAGGGAGCCTGGGGCTGACATAGTGGCTCAGTATTCACAGGTCCTTGGGGACTTAGGTTTTTCAGCTACCCAGCCATCTAAAGGGCATGGCTCTCATCCTCATGGTCCTCTCTTGAACTAGAAGCCTTTTCTGCATAGTTGGAGGAGGAACCTACAGCTGGCAGTAAAATCATCTCTGTGTAGGATACCTTTCTGTGGGTTCAGGATGGTGTCCGTGTTCTTCATCATCTCAACTGTAAACATCCCACTTGCCAATTACTACCTGGCCCTTGGCAGAAAAAGTCTGCTGACCCCTGTGGTATGAACACAGCTTGACCTCTTTCTTCTAACAATTAATGGATTCGAGCTACCCAATTTTTTACTCCAGGACTCCCAAGTTTGCCTCTGACAGATGATTATGTACAATTATTCTTAGTCAATTTTTTACTATAATATTTTCAAAGATGGCAGTATAGTTGATTTTTAGGGTCCTTAGGTCATACTTACAGACTGTACAACTTATCATGAAAGGAGTCCTTTCATTAGCACTAAGATGTTATTCCAGGTAACTGCTAAGAAAAAAGTAGTATCACCACCAAGTTGGTCCTGGAAGCAAGCGCAGCCTATTCCTCATCTTATGCCTGGGTGAATTTCATATACAAGCTTTCCCCCCAAAAGTGGTTTTTATAAACCTGGACAATTACTAACAGGTAACCCCAGGGTTCCTTATTTCTATTTTTGCTTCCTGAGCCATGACTATCCAAGGGTCCTAACATGAGGCAGGCTTTGTAAGAATTATTTTTCCAATCATAAATACAATGGAAAACAACTCCTTTTTCCATTTGACTCAGATTTTAATTATCAAATAAAATATGTTAAAAAGTACGTTATGAAGAAACCAATAATCAAAACCAACCTTCTCTAGAATAGCATTTCTCAACCTTCTGTTGTTGCCCTCCTAAGGAACCTTTTAAGATGAATTTTCCAAATCTCCCTTCTCCCTATAAAATTTTAATATCACAAATTTACTATATATCTGTTTGTGAACTGTGGCCTTTTGGAGGGCCACAAATCATTGTAACATCTAAGATTTTTCCACCCTCATTTGAGACTACATGCTCTAGAACAATTCGCTAAGAAATTAGGAAACCAGGAAAAAAAATTATTCAACATGACATCATCATTTTTAATCCATATCCTCCTTTTCTTTATCTGGCTTCAGGAATACAGTTGATACTGTGGCTCCTCAATAATAATAGCTTCTTTTTCCCAGGTCTGTGTTCATCTATCTCCATCTTGAGATCCTGCCAGCCATCTTTGTTTGCCAGATCCACCTGACTCACTGCCAGTTAAAAATGTTGGGGGTTGATCAGGGGTTGGGGTTAAATCCATATGATTGAGAATATTCTCTGTATGAACTGAGGCCATAAAAGCTCTTCAAGAAAGAATTTGAATTGACATATACCACAAGACAGTTTTCTTTAGGGTAACTCTTAGCCGGTCTAGTACTCCTAACCCCAAAATAGAACTAATCCAGCATAAGAAAGAGCTCTTGCAGACAGCGTAGAGCAGAGCCAGTCTAGAAGGAAGTAAGAGGTCAGAGGGGCTCAGAAGAGATATAACCAAGAAAAAATAAAGCATCACTCATGTATTTGAATATCTTGAGAGGAGAGTTATACTTCAGTCCCAGAATTTAAAATTTAAATGCTGATGGTTACCTAGAAAACTGAACAAATAAAACCAAAGCAATTATTATTAACTTGACAGAAAATTAAAAGTTGTATAATAAAGTTAATTGCAATGCACTACATGATTCAGCTCAGAACAATACATATTTCTAATAATGTGAACACTGAGTATCGATGTTAGGCTGGGGTGTATTTTTATTCCTAATATTTCCAGTTTCTTATCTCTTCTTTCAGGGATATTTGAATACCATGTAGCACTTGCTGATGTTTCTCACATACTGCAAAAGGCAAGGAGGTAAAGGGACAGGTAGGGAATTGACTAGAGCCTGGGCCCCTGTGGCAGCTTGGTGTCTTCAGGCTGGGGCCCAGCATTACTTTCCTCAACCCACCTCCACTTGGGCCACTGGCAATGAAGCAGGAAGATCTCTTTTTATTTGACTATTTGGAGGACAGGCAGAAGGCAGAAGGACCAGGGAAGTCGTCTTTCATTTAGTGAGCACTGCTATTCCAGGCACTGTGTTGAGTACTTTCCATACTCATGTACTTTCACTCGACTCTGTTTAACAGGGGCATCACTATAGCTGCTTTGTAAGTAGACTGAAGTTCTGTATTGAATCAGC